GATGCAGGGCTTGAACTCACGAACCTTGAGATCATGACCTGAGCTGAAGCTGGAAGCTTAACCAACTAAGCTACCCAAGCACCCAGGGAATGGAAATCTTTTTCAGTGGTCAATAAGCAAACTTACCTTTGCTCTGAAAGTAAACATATTTATCATCCAAAGTTGTAGTTATACAAAGATCTTTGAAAGGATAGTCCAGAATGAAAGTAGTCAGTGCCTCTGCTTGTTGTGAGGTCTTCAACTAGTACCACAGAGTAGACATTCTTGCAAGGATGGGAACTTATATAAGATGAAATTAACCCTTCTCTCTTCATCTTCCTATTAACCATGTTCAGCTTTTACCAGATCATCAATTTACACTTGAATGATACAAGTTCAACACTCCCTGTTGAAAAGCTTTGAAATTTATAAAAACTTGCCTTTGAATAACTGTCCCATTTTATTTTTTCTCTTTGGGAGCAATATAAAAATAGGTTAGATAGTATTCTAAACTAATGGGTTAGATTTATTCTAAAACTGACATAAGTAATCCTGAATAATACTTATACAGGTCGTAGGTGTTTTAATGTGCATGTTAAAAGTTTGAAAAACATGTAGTTCACATTGCAGAGAACAAATAAGACATAGTGATTTTTTTAACTTTTTTTTTTAGCTTACAGATTTCAGTGAACCAAAGGAAAATCCTTCATGTACTGAACAAAATAAAGACAACCAGTGTTTTGAAAATGAAGCTGACAAAAAGACAAGAGTAAGTGTTAGAGTGTTTTCTTTGTTTCTTTGTTTAATGGGCAAGATACGTCTTGTTCTCTGTGAAGTATAACCTAATTTCTGCTTTTGGCCTGCTCAGAATATTGGGTTCACCTGCTACCGGGTTGACATTGGACTATGCATCATTTTGAGCAGTTGTGTGCTTTCATTTTGAGAATTTTGTTTGTGTTTGTTTTAGTGTAAATTCTAAACTAGTAATCACACAACCATTTTGTAATCTACTCCACTTCTCCTCTCTCCTGTCTGGTTCAGGACAGGAGAAAAACCCTCACATGACTCTTTGACAGTGGCTTTTAGGTTTCATTGGGGTTTTTTTATGTTTTGTTTTTGTTTTGTTTGTTTTTTGTAATAGCTTCCCTGAAGCAATCTGAACTCTACTTCAATCATACTTTTTTTGTGATTGTCACCTTGTGTAGTTATTCAAGACAGGGAATCAAAATCAATCATCTATAAGGTAATGCTAAACAGGTCATAGTGCTTTATTTGATGAAATCAAGAACCTGAATTCAAAGTATGTGTATTTCCAAGTAAAAATATTTTATTAATCAGCAGCCTCAGATTTAATTTATTTCTGATCAATTGCCACAAGCTGATCCTTATTTATTGTAGCCTAGTGAAATACGCCAATGTTGTATTCTCCATTTCATTGATAAAAACATCAAATTTAATTATGAAAATGAGAAAATAAATCATGATTATTTTTATGAACATGCATTAAGTATTTAAACCTCACATAAAATTCTTTTGGGAGATTATTTTATAAATATTTGCTTTATTGATGCTTCTTGAAATATGTCTTTAATGATGTTCCTTCTTGTCTTTTTGGTGAATCTTCTATTAGCAAGCACAGGCAATCTTCATTATGGCTCTATAGGCCTCAAATTTCTTTCAAATATGGGACAATATGTCTACTGAATGGTAAATATCAGTAAAGGATCGTTTTTCTGTTGATGACCATTTATAACATGGGCTGTCTTCTGTTAATTGCCAATTAGTTGAGCCTCTTAATTTTGACTTGATTTTGAGATTTTGGCAAAGTTCTGAGTCAGATCCAGTTATGAATTTTCATCATTATGATATGGGGTTAGGAGTGAATGGTAGAGAAAGGATTCTTGAGACATTTTATGGTGTAACTTAGTAAGTTTATTTAAGTAGCATGGAGACAGGGCCTGTGGGTAGAAAGAGCTGCACTTTTGCTATATGAAGCTGATGGTTATATGCTTAGTGTTCAAGGGGGAGGAGACATGCAGAGACTATTAGATTATAAACATCTTCAAATTTCTGCTTATAAAACTATTTTCTCCAGATTTCTCTGGTGCTTATAATTCAGACCAATATTAGCTATTGGTTAGATGTACAGGCAATTATGAGACCCTTTAAAAAAGTAGCAGCTAGCACCTATTTGATCCTTAAAAAAGCTTTGCAGGCTGTAGGTCAACCTTCTGGACTAAAGGTGCACATTCTTCTGCTTCTATCCCTCATCACTTAACTGTGAGGAATTTAGTTAAAATAAGAAAGGTTGTATGGTAATTGTCCTTCCCTTTATAGGGAAACTATGGAATTTAGAGCCAAATTTAACTAGTGAGCAGTTTATGGAATCCTTCTATGAAAGACCATTGTGTGCTCTCCTGAAAAATGTTTTTTCCATGTTTAACATGGAATGTGTTATTTATTTAAACTATTTGAAACTGTTATAATATGCTAAATGTATTTCCAGGAAAGGAAGTCATCTAATTTGGCAGTGGCAGCATTTTTCTCCAAAAGGAGAGAGGGAAGGTGAATGTCCATTCTAGACTCATGAATACTTAGAAAACAAATTTTTAGACTTCCTGGCTGTTCAAGAGGATATTTATATTTTTGCTTACTGAAAATGAAGTCATCAGGACTTAGTAGGATACAAATGTGCCAACTTGTCAAGCAGCTAAATGAAATAAGTGCTGGCAAATATACTAGAAAAAGTTTTGTGTTTTTATCATGGGAAAATATATTGCTAGCCTACACTATTTAATCTCTAAAAGCTTTAGTGTTTTCATCTTACAGAGTAGTTATGAGATTTTAATGAGACCTAAATATGAAAATGGTTAGTAGTGCCTGGAAAATAGTAGATTTTTATTCTATGAAATAAATTGCAAGTCTTACATTTAATTTATTAAGATGGTAGACTCTATTACAAATAGTTCTCAGGGTTTCCTTGGGTTCATATCTATATTACATCACTATGTCTATAACAGTTTTTTTGCCTGGAAACCATTTGGCCAAGAAGAGCTCCTGCCTTGATAATTTCTAGTTGTTGATGTTCAAAATAAGTTCTGATTGAATTAAAATACGCATCAGTGAGAATTTCTTAGTTATCTTAAAAGTTGATTATATCACAAACAAAAGAATAGTCATTATTATTGTATGAATGTAATATGTTGTACATAGTGTACAATGATATTGTAACTATTGTACACAGACAATTCTTCAAAGGCTGTTGACAGTAAACCACAACTTGGAAATCACAACTGTTTATATCTATTAACTATTACACTGGACTTTGGTGTCTTCATCTTCATAATTAGGATGTTAGATCAGATTATTCCTAAGGATTCTTCCAGATCTAAAGTCAAATCATTCTGTGACAGTCAAGAGCAGACAATAAATTATGTTGTATAAATAGAGTCCACTAATAATACAATTAAAGTATGTTAGCCAGCAATAGCCAATGAACCCTGTGCAAATTTATACTTATGTAATAGATATGTATCTAGAACAATAAACAGGAACATCTTCATTAGGCCACATTAGTTTGAGAAACTTTCAACAATCCAGCTTATAGGCCAGTGATTCTTGAAGTGAATCCCCAACCCCCGCAACCACCAGCATTTTTATCCTCTAAAGACTTGTTAGAAAAGTTAGTTCTTGGGCTCTATTTCAGATCAAGTAAACCAGATCAAGTAAACCAGAAATGCTGGGAGTGGGACCCAGACCCAGTGTTTTAATGAGTCATTCAGCTGAGTCTTAGGTTTGCTACAATTTGAGAACCACTGCCATGAGTAGTAAACCTCTGGACTTTCCTCTGATCAGTCACTAGCCATCTTCCTGTCACATACTTTAGACAATTTAGGGAAGACCCTGAAAGTAATTCAAGTATTTATAAGGCAACTAAGATAAAATAAATTGCACCATGTGTACTGTTTATGTTTCTTGTTTGTATTTCTCATTATTGGTGATCTTCTAAAAAAACTCTGCATGCTGATTTTCTAACATCTTTCAGGAACATGTTAATGTCTGTATTCCTCTCTACTCTCAGTTGGCAAATTTTGGCCATAGCTTAATTCCAGGCTTCTGGAAGCTATTTTGCCCAGTGGGAGATATCCTCCCTAAAAGTATTGATCCATAAAAATCAGAATCAGAAATAGCTTTCAATTGCATTCTCTCTCTGTGCCATGGAAGGAAACTTTCCCTGCTTTTGTTATACATTTAGCCGAATTTCCATATATTTGAGCATGCTTTTGCCATCACTGAGGCTTAGACAACTGATTTCTCTTTTTTCCAAAGTGGTTTTATCAATTGCAGACTTTACCTCTGTTTTAAGGGCTTACATGAATCATGGTGTTGCCACTTGTCATAGGATGTGGAGAACTCTGAAGTTACAAAGGGCAATACAATTTGCAAAATTTGTTATAGGTGTTTATAAGAACTGATGAAATTTTGTGAAATCTGTGAGAAAATTAAAATTAGGAAATGAAAATAAAGATATCATTGGGAATTCTAGACCTTTACTGATGAAGAAATATTTTAAATTTGATGTGGTTCATTCATTTTATTATTTCCATTGAACAATCTTAAATAAGTGGAAGTGTCTTTTAGGGCTATGCTTTGTGTTTAAATAAATCTAATAAACAAAGGGTAATATTTGGAGATTTGGTCTTCCAGAATCCTAGTGAGAAACAATGAGGACTTTTAATCAGATCACAGGATGATGAGGGAATTTTGACAGGACATGGTGACTAAGTAGATTTGAGAGATGGGTGGTATGAGAATGAAAATGGGAACATTTAGGTTGATTCACAGATAAACAGAGTGAATTCGATAATGTTGTCTTAAATTTGAGATAATAGTGGAACAGCTAAGAAGAAATATTCTAAGAGGATTTGGACACATTGGTTGAGAAACAAGTGCGATGTCAAAATTAGGACAGTGTGGGGTGCCTGTGTGGCTCAGTTGGTTAAGTGTCTGACTTTTGGTTTGGGCTGGTGTTAGGATCTCACAGTTCATGTGTTCGAGTCCCATGTCAGGCACTGCACTGACAGTGCGGAGTCTGCTTGGAATTTTCTATCTCCCTCTCTCTGCCCCTCCCCCACTCACTCTCTATCTCTCTCTGTCTTAAAATAAATAAACATTAAAAAAAAGTAGGACAGTGTGATAGAGTGTAAAGAGTATAGAGTGAAAAGTCAGATACCACAGTTTATATTTTGGCTCTACCACTAATTAGTCATGCAACCTTGAGTAGATTAAATAGCCTCTATTTTTATTGTAAAATGTAGGTAGTGCCTATCTTATAGGACTACAGTAAGAATCAAATGAAATAAACAGGACTGACAGCTAAATGCTCTGGTTCCTGCTTATGTTTGGAGACATGATTGCAGAACCAAACGTCTCAAAAATATTTTAAGTTTTAGATAATATTTTTGTTGTTTGATATTTAAACCTAATTTCTTACAGATTTTTTTAAACAAATGATTATTTTTGAGAGAGAGAGGGAGACAGCATGAGCAGGGGAAGAGCAGAAAGAGAGGGAGACAGAGGATCTGAAGCAGGCTCTACACTGTCAGCGCAGAACCGCATGCAGGGCTTGAACCTACATACTGTGAGATCATGACCTGAACCCAATTTGGATGCTTAACTGACTGAACCACCCAGGTACCCCTAAATCTAATTTTTGAAGCAGAAAACAGATTCTAGCCAATCTTTTGAATTAGAACTGTTTGGTAAAGG